AAGGCAGCCAGGGATGGTGGAAAATGTGAGTTTTATTAATCGTAAATAGAGGATTCCCATTTACCGAGTGCAGCGTGCCAGCCACTGTGTTGAGATTTTACAAGTATGTTATTCTTGAATCCTCACCACAACCCGACCAGGTAGGTGCTATTGTTATGCCCATTTATCAGATGAGAAACTGAGGCTCCCAGAGAGGAACAGATGTGTCCAGTCATGCAGCCGGTAAGAAGCAGAATCTGGACTGGATTCACCCTGTCCCTTTACATAGTTCTGCTGCTCAGGGGTCTAGGCAATCACAGCTCAGAGACAGAGGCTGTGCTTGATGTCTCAGGAAAAAGCTGCTCAAGAAAGTTACCAGAAAAAAAAAAAGGTCCCAAAACTGGCCCTACAATTACTTTTGCTCAGAGGGCTTTTTTTCTTTATTTCGACAGGCACATGTGACTGGTGTGGTTGAGACAAAGGCTCTGAGGATCCAAAACCTGGGGACTCCTTTGGCTGGGATTGAGGGGTCTCCTGGGGTGTGAAAGACATGGCTTTAAGGTTGAGAAGGTAGTGAGTCCAATGCGTGCTGTGTAAGTGTGCAGCCTCTGGAGGCAGGCAGATTCCTGCTCAAATCCCAGCTCTGTGTAACCTTGGCTGAGTCTGTTTCCCAATCTGTAAATGGGGTTAACAATTGAATCTTTGTTTTTTGTTTGTTTGTTTTCTTTTTGATACAGAGTCCTCCCCTGTCGCCCAGTTGGAGTTCAGTGGTGTGATCCCAGCAAACTGCAACCTCCGCCTCCGAGGTTCAAGCAATTCTCCTGCCTCAGCCTCCTGAGTAGCTGGGACTACAGGCGCGAACCACCACGCCCTGCTAGTTTTTGTATTTTTAGTAGAGACGGGGTTTTACCATGTTGGCCAGGCTGGTCTCAAACTCCTGACCTCAAGTGATCTGTCTACCTCAGCCTCCCAAAGTTCTGGGATTACAGGCATGAGCCACTGCACCTGGCCTTAATGATTGAATCTTTTACGGAGCTTTCAGTGAGATATTTGTTTTGATTAAAAAAAAAAAACAGTAAAAATGCTTACTAAATGGGAGGTATTGTCTTATTATCACAATTTGTATTTTTGCCTGAACTCAACTCACCCTATAACCAACTTAAGCCGATAAATGGTTTTCTAGACTAGGTGGAGGTATTTTCCAGAAGAAATAATGGTTGCGATTTGGGTGAGGGGGTTCAGGGTAGGGGTCTGGTGACTGGGTTTTGGACCCAGCCAGTAGCTAAGGGTCCATGCCAGATGCTGACAGGGTTTTTTGTTTTTTTTTTTTTTTTGAGATGGAGTTTCACTCTTGTTACCCAGGCTGAAGCGCAATGGCATGATCTCGGCTCACTGCAACCTCCACCTCCTGGGTTCAAGCAATTCTCCTGCCTCGGCCTCCCGGATAGCTGGGACTACAGGCGTGTGCCACCATGCCCAGCTAATTTTTGTATTTTTAGTAGAGACGGGGTTTCACCATGTTGACCAGGATGGTCTCGATCTCTTGACCTCGTGATCCACCTGCCTCGGCCTCCCAAAGTGCTGGGATTACAGGCATGAGCCACCATGCCCAGCTGCTGATGGGTTTTGAAGGCAGGGGGTCTCAGTTCACATGGTGGCTTTGTCATTAGTAAATGTGCACCCTGACTGAGGCAGATGACATTACCCTCTGAATTTTAGCTTCCTCATCTATCCTATGGAAACAATAAGAGTTTCTCCTTGCCATCTTTCTTTTGCTGATTACAAGTGAAGGGTTTAGGGCAGTGCCTGTTCTACAGTAAGCACCTGGTTACTGTGTAGGGTTTTTTGTTGTTGTTGTTTTTGTTTTTTTGTTTGTTTGAGACAGAATTTCACTCTGTCACCAGGCTGGAGTGCAATGGCCTGATCTTGGCTCACTGCAGCCGCCACCTCCCGGGTTCAAGTGATCCTGCCTCAGCCTCCCGAGTAGCTGGGACTCCATGCACACACCACCACGCCCAACTCATTTTTGTATTTTTAGTAGAGACGGGTTTCGCCATGTTGGCCAGGATGGTCTCTATCTCTTGACCTCACGATTGGCCCACAGCAGCCTCCCAAAGTGCTGGGATTACAGGTGTGAGCCATGGTACCCGGCCTTCTTTTTAACCCAGATGTGTACTGGGTTAAAAAGAAAACATCCCTGCAGGTCCTGCTGTCACCAGCCCCTGGGCACCTACCTTTCTGAGTGCATGTCCCTGGGAGGTCTCTCCTCTTCTATGTCTGCTGTGGGGACCTCAGGCTTTCCAATGGGGTCTGCCTCCACTGCTGAAGGGTTGGGTTCCATTGCTGGGGTGTCCTCCAGGGGACCATTGGCCTCCACCACCACTTCCTTGGCTGCCTCCAAGCCTGGGGGGTCGGGCAGACCTCGGGGTACCAGGTTGGGCTTGGGGCCCACCTCCTGGGCCTGCTGGGCAGCCTGTGAGTTCTGTGCTTTCTTGTTGCTGGGGCGAGGCATGGTGCCCATGTGGCTGTACATGTCACTGGAGCGGGCATAGGCTGGGGGACTCTTGGGCACTGTCACCATGTCATCCTGCGTGGCTTCAAAGGTGTCAGGCTCCAAATGGGACTGCCTACTGACAGGAGCTGAGGACCGCCTCAGAGTGAAGGACCGAGGGATGTTGGAGAGACTCCCAAAGCCCTTGAACTTGAAGAATTCTAGAAGAGGGGAAGGGAAGGAAAAGGCGTTAGTGGCAATGTTAACATCAATAATAATAATGAAAAACTCCTGCAGTTTCACTCAGTGAGGGGCTGAAGAGGGCTAGGGGCTTCCTGGACACCCCCTCTCTTTTTTTTTTTGAGACGGAGTTTCGCTCTTGTTTACCCAGGCTGAAGTGCAATGGCGGGATCTTGGCTCACCGCAACCTCCGCCTCCTGGGTTCAGGCAATTCTCCTGCCTCAGCCTCCTGAGTAGCTGGGACTACAGGCACGCACCACCATGCTCAGCTAATTTTTTGTATTTTTTTTTTTTTTTTTTTTTTGAGACGGAGTTTCGCTCTTGTTACCCAGGCTGGAGTGCAATGGCGCGATCTCGGCTCACCGCAATCTCCGCCTCCTGGGTTCAGGCAATTCTCCTGCCTCAGCCTCCCGAGCAGCTGGGATTACAGGCACGCACCACCGTGCCCAGCTAATTTTTTTGTAATTTTAGTAGAGACGGGGTTTCACCATGTTGACCAAGATGGTCTCGATCTGTTGACCACGTGATCCACCCGCCTCGGCCTCCCAAAGTCCTGGGATTACAGGCTTGAGCCACCGCGCCCGGCCAATTTTTTGTATTTTTAGTAGAGATGGGGGTTTCGCCATGTTGACCAAGATGGTCTCGATCTCTTGACCTCATGATCCACCAGCTTCAGCCTCCCAAAATGCTGGGATTACAGCCGTGAGCCACCGTGCCCGGCCCTGGACACCCCTTCTAATTGTCAGCACACCCCCAGAAGTGGTATAAGATGGGAGCTTTGGAGTCACATAGCCCTGGACTTGAATTCCTGCTCTTTCACATCCTAGCTGTGTGTCCTTAGGCAGGTCACTTGACCCCTCTAAGCTAAGCCTCATTCTCCACATCAGTAAAATAGAGATTCTAGCACCTACCCCCTAGGGCAATGTGAGGATTAAAGAAAAGCCTAGGCCAGGAGCAGTGGCTCACACCTGTAATCTCAGTACTTTAGGAGACCGAGGCGGGTGGATCATCTGAGGTCAAGAGTTCGAGACCAGCCTGGTCAACATGGTGAAACCCCATCTCTACTAAAAATACAAATAATTAGCTGGGTGTAGTGGCAGGTGCCTGTAATCCCAGCTACACAGGAGGCTGAGGCAGGAGAATCCTTGAACTCAGGAGGCGGATGTTGCAGTGAGCTGAGCTCACACCACTACACTCCAGCCTGAGCAACAAGAACAGACTCCATTTTAAATAATAATAATAATAATATGGACTAGTGTGATATCTTAGAAAAAAAATAATAGGCCAGGCACGGTGGCTTATGCCTGTAATCCCAGCACTTTGGGAGGCCGAGGCGGGTGGATCACCTGAGGTCAGGAGTTCGAGGCCAGCCTGCCCAACATGGTGAAACCCCGTCTCTGAAAAGTAATAATAATAATAAAGGCCTGGCACAGTGGCTCACACCTGTAATCCCAGCATTTTGGGAGGCCAAGACGGGTGGATCACCTGAGGTCAGGAGTTTGAAACCAGCCTGGTCAACATGGTGAAACCCTGTCTCTACTAAAAATACACAAATTAGCTGGGTGTGGTGGTGCATTCCTGTAATCCAAGCTACTCGGGAGGCCGAGGCAGGAGAATTCCTTGAACCTTGGAGGTGGAGGTTGCAGTGAGCTGAGATTGTGCCACTGCACTCCAGCCTGGGTGACAAGAGTGAGACTCAATATCAAAAATAAAATAAAATCTTATCTGGGTGTGCTGGTGTGTGCCTATAATCCCAGCTACTTGGGAGGCTGAGGCAGGAGGAGAGTTTAAGCCCCCGAGTTCACGGTTGCGCTGCACTATGATGGCACCACTGCACTCCAACCTGGGCAACAGAGCAAGAGCCTGTCTCTAATAGTAATGCTTATTTATTTATTATTTTTTCTTTTGAGACAGAGTCTCACTCTGTCACCCAGGCTGGAGTGCAATATCATGATTTTAGCTCACTGCGACCTCTGCCCGCCAGGTTCAAGCGATTCTTCAGCCTCAGCCTCCGGAGTAGCTGGGATTATAGCGTGCGCCACCATGCCCGGCTGATTTTTGTATTTTTAGTAGAGATATGCGTTTCACCATTTTGGCCAGGCTGGTCTCGAACTCCTGGCCTCAAGTGATCCACCCACCCCAGCCTCCCAAAGTGTTGGGATTACAGGGGTGAGCCACTAATAACAACGATAATTTAAAAATTTCTAAAAATGATTCTGCATCTACCAAACATGTGCTGCATGAATTCTCAACATAACTCAGTGACACAGTTTAATCTCCCATTTTCCAGATGAAAAACTTGAGATTCAGAGCGGTGTAATGAATTGAGGTCATGCTGCTGGTAGGTGGAGCAGGTATGCGTGTTTTGCGGTTATGTGGTGGGGGGTGTTCCAGCCAGCCTCTGTGAACCTGGGGTGGGGGTGGAATGAGGAGGGGGTTGTTGTGAGCCAGAGGGTCGCACTGTCTGTGGTTCTCTCCTTCCTGTCAGCTGAGCCCAGCTCCTGACTCAAGAGGCACGGCTGGGGTGATACCATCTCCTGGTTTCCGCGGGGGTGCATATGAGTTCCCTACCCCCTGCCCCCAGCTGTGGGACCGTCCCTTCTCACCACCACCAACTGACTTCCCCACAGCCTCCAGATGAGCAAAAAAGAAAAAACTCTGGCATTTTCCACTTCCTCAGCATCCTCCACCTCCTCAGCTGCTCACACCAGCGCTGGGATGCAGGTAGGATGCCCCCAGTTGAGGGAGGAAACTGAGGCCCAGGGATGGGGAGGGACTTGCCCAGGGTCATATAGCAAGGCCATGGCTGAGCCTGGACTCAGGCCCAGGGCTCAGCACAGCTGGGCCAGTGCTCAGGGGCTTTCTTTAGCCCTGCCGGCCCCACTTGGTTGTTGCCTTGGCCTCCTGAGAAATGTGGTCAGCAAATGCTGCTGCTCTGCCCTTCCGCTGCATGTGGTGGGGGTGGAAATTGCATCAGTTGCCAAAGGGAGGACCCTCAACTGCCTTCTTTCTCAGCACCACTGGCTTTGCCTCCTAGGCACCATGCTTTTGTAGGAGATAGTCAGAGGCAGGAGGGAAACTGAGGCCCAGACTCCAGGGACTGGGATTGGGCCTGCTCAATAGCCCATGTGATCTCAGGCAAGTCTCTGGGCTTCAGCATTGCCCTCTGTGAAATGCGCTCACAATCTCTGCCCTTTATACCAGCTGTCCTTCACCCTGGTGGGGTCAGATCAAAGGTATCAGTGGACAGAATTTGCTGAAACTGGGACGGCCAGACACAGGAAAACAGAGCAGTGGGCGAGTGTGGCCCTCACCCTGGAGCTTGGTTCTAGTCGCTCTGGGCTCTTTCCCCACCAAAGGGTTGGGTCCCAGGCGCACTGCTGTCGGGAATGTGGGACACCTTCCCATGATACCCCTATCCCCTGCCACCCCAGTAACTCCCCACCTGTGAGCCCAGCCCTGGGGGCAGGGGGATGGAGTGTTCGAAGACCTCCCCTGCCCAGCTGTGAGGTCAGAGACAGCTAGAGACACAGTGGACTACAGAGATTGAGAGACACTGTGGGGAGACAAAGAGACAGAGACAAGAGAAGCTCGGCGATGGAGCACAAAGTCAGTCAGAGAGAGAGACAGATGCTGGGCCAGAGTGACAGCCAGAGAGCCACAGGGACGCCCAGAAGCAGAGATGTCTGCAGAGAGACAGAGACAGACAAAGAGAAACAGAAACAAGACCAGCACAAGAGGATCGCTTGAGCCCAAGAGATTGAGACCAGCCTGGGCAATAAAGTGAGTCCCCCAGTCTCTAAAAAAGAATAATAATTATTATTATTTTATTTTATTTATTTACTTATTTTTTGAGATGCAGTCTCACTCTGTCAGCCAGGCTGGAGTGCCGTGGTGCGATCTCAGCTCACTGCAACCTTTACTTCCAGGGTTCAAGCATTTCTTCTGCCTCAGCCTCCTGAGTAGCTGGGATTACAGGTGTGTGTCACCATGCCTGGCTAAGTTTTTGTATTTTTAGTAGGGACGGGGTTTCACCATGTTAACTAGGCTGGTCTTGGAACTCCTGACTTCAGGTGATCCACCCGTCTAGCCTCCCAAAGTGCTGGGATTATGGGCGTTAGCCACCGTTCCCAGCTAAAAAAAAAAAAAAAAAAAAATTAATTGTGCCTGTAGTCCTAGCTACTTGGAAGGCTGAGGTGGATCACTTGCTCCTGGGAGGTCAAGCCTGCAGTGAGCTGAGATTCTGCCACTGCACTCCAGCCTGGGTGACAGAGAGAGACCCTGGCATCCAAAAGTAAAAAAGAAACTGGGAGGGCAGACACAGGAAAACAGAGCAGTGGGCTAGTGTGGTCCCACAGAAATGAGACAGCGATGAAGAAACAGATGCAGAGAGAGGCCCAGGGGAGAGCCAGGGATGGAGGACAGCGCAGACGGCACCCCGCACTCACTGAACTTTTTGCTGGCCTTCTTGGTCCCCTCTGTCATCCTGGCAAGTCGTGTGAAGCCCTTGGCCAGCTCGAAAGTGGCTGCTGGAGGCGCTGGACGTCAAGGTTGAGGTGCCTCTCCCACCTCCCCTTCCCCTTTCTCTCGCCCTCTCACTAACTTCCTCTGTGTATTTTTAAACCAGCGAAACTCCCACAGCCCCAACCTCCCCACCCTCTCTGCAGGGGGCGGGGGCTGGGGCTTCCCCTAGCCCCGGCCCCTGTGGGCTGCCTCCTCGGGGCTCAGCAGCAGGACATGGGTCAGACCGCAAGCCCAGGGGACCTGGAGGGTCTAAGGAGCAAGCCGCAGGTTCTGGGAATGCAGCCCAGTGGGCTGGGGGGCCACTGGGGACCTGCCAATAGCTGTCAGGGGGCCTAGTGGTCAGGCTGGGAAGGTGAGGGGAGTCAGACCTGTGTGCGGGGCGGTTGCTTCTCAGCCTCCATACCCAGGAGGGGACTGGCAGCCGCAGACTGGGGAGTGCTGTGGTCGGGCCTGTGGACTCTGGGCCACCCAAGTCCAAGTTCCGCTTTTGGCTGGCCATTTTGCTACAGTGCAAATGTCCTCCCTGTGATCAGGGGGTACTGGCAGTGCCCAATTCACATGGTTCAGCAATTGGTGCAGGGCCTGGCACAGAATCCGTGCCTGCCAAAGCACAGTCACCCTTTCCAAGCTCACAGGGAGATGTCATCATGTGCTCCACTGCACCCACTGGACAGAGATGGTGAAACTGAGGCACAGAGAGGCAGAGGGGTTCCCCCAGGTAGCACAGCTGGTTGCTGGCCCAGACTGGGTCACAATGCTCCCTTCTAGGCCCCTTAACCCACGGGCTGGTTCCTTCCCACCCTACAAACTTCCCATGTGCATGTTCAGGTGGGCAGGACTGAGATGAGGAAATGAAACCTCCCCTCTGAGGGTCATTCTGGACATCTGCAGAGGGTGTCAGTGGCTGCTGGGGCTGGGGCAGGGCCTAAGCCTCAGTGACCTGATTTCTAGAATGGGGAGAATTGTGAGGTAGGCAGCCAACCTGCAGAGGTTCAGTGTTTTATCCTGGACCCCAGGCTGGGAGAGTCCACTGCCATCTGATAGGGCACTTCCTGCATCTTCCACTAATAGAAACAGCCCCAGAGTGGGAACGGTGGCTCACACCTGTAAACCCAGCACTTTGGGAGGCCAAGTCAGGTGGATCACCTGAGGTCAGGGGTTCAAAAGCAGCCTGGTCAACATAGTAAAACCTGGTCTCTACTAAAAATATATTTAAAAAAAAATTAGCTGGGTGTGGTGGCATGCACCTGTATTCCTAGCTACTCAGAAGACTGAGGGAGGAGAATCGCTTGAACCCAGGAGGCAGAGGCTGCAGGAAGCGGAGATCTTGCCACTGTACTCCAGCCTGGGCAACAGGGCAAGACTCTGTCTCAAAAAAAAAAAGCAGAGGCAGAGACTGGACAGACAACCTAGTGTCCTAACTCCTGGTTGGTGCCCCAGCAGAAAACAGAGGGTAGGTCCCAGGCTTCTCTCCCAGGAGGCAGTTGCAGCGGGACTTGGGATAGCTGCCAAGGCTGTGCTGCTTCCCAGCCAGGCCTGCTCCTGACTTGCTGTGTGATCCTGCACAAGACACTTTCTCTCTCTGGGCCAAAGTTTTGTCATGTGTGAAATGGAGCCACAGCAGCCTCCACTTACTGGGGTTGTTGGGAGGATGACAGGGGCAAACGCTGGTCCAGGCCAGCACACCGTGGGCCTCTGTGAGCCCTGGCTGGGGTTGCTGAGAGATGGGCACAGATAAGGGGGAGACTGGCACAGGACAGGGAATCCTAGCAGACAGGCACCAGGCAGGAGACCTGGGAATCCCCACCACAGAGATGCTGTGTTGCTGCGGCAGAGGAGCCACCTCAGTGCTGGGGCTGGTCCTGCTCTTGGCCCAGGCGCCAGGGCAGTTTCTGGTACCCCTAGGAGAATGAATAGGGCTCAGTGTGGCGGCTCCACTGAGCTCAGAGCCCCCTTTGTGCTGCCTGGAGTGGCCGTTAGGAGTGTGGCCAGGGACCTGCCGGCGGGTGGCTGTCCTGCGGGGTGCTCTTCAGCTTGCACTGGAGGGCAGGGCAGCAGGCCCGAGTTCCTCAGCCCTGAGCGCCTGAGCACTTTCCTGCCTCCAGGCCTTTGCTCAGGCTGGCCCCACACCACCGGGAATGCCCTCTGCCTTCCCGCCTCAGTCTTTTACATCCTTTACGTCCCTCCGGGCTGGCTTGAGCTATGTTGCCCCCAGGATCCCTGAACTCGTTTCTTTTTTATTTTATTTTATTTTATTTTAAGATGGAGTTTCACCATGATGGCCAGGCTGGTCTTGAACTACTGACCTCAGGTGATCCACCCACCTTGGCCTCCCAAAGTGCTAGGATTACACGTATGAGCTACAGTGCCCAGCCCTTTTTTTTTTTTTTATTTAATTGAGACAGAGTCTTGCTCTGTCAGCCAGGCTAGAGTTCAGTGGCACAGTCTTAACACCGCAACCTCTGCCTCCTGGGTTCAAGCAATTCTCCTGCCTCAGCCTCCCAAGTAGCTGTTACAGACCCATGCCACCACACCCAGCTAATTTTTTAAAATTTATTTATTTAGTTAGTTTTGTTTATTTATTTTTTGAGACGGAGTCTCACTCTGTCACTCAGGCTGGAGTGCAGTGGCATGATCTCGGCTCACTGCAACTTCTGACTCCCGAGTTAAACAATTCTCTGCCTCAGAACTCCTGAGGAGCTGGGATTACAGGCACCTGCCACCACGGGCAGCTAATGTTTTTGTATTTTTAGTGGAGATGGGGTTTCACCATCTTGGCCAGGCTGGTCTTGAACTCCTGACCTCAGCATCCACCCACCTTGGCCTCCCAAAGTGCTGGGATTACAGGCGTGAGCCACTGTGTCTGGCCTTTACATTTTTTTAGTAGAGATGGGGTTTTACCATGTTGGCCAGGCTGGTCTCCAACTCCGGACCTCAAGTGATCTGTCCACCTCAGTTTCCCAAAGTGCTGGGATTACAGGCATGAGCCACCATTCCCAGCCCCCTGCTCTCACTTCTGTCCCTTATCCTTGCCCCTCTTCCTCAGCCTGTGACTCAGGCAGGGACAGTGTGGAGGTCCTATGGAGAGGAGAGAGAAGATAGTCTCATGGACAGGGCAGGTTCTACCAAGAGTTGGAGGACTTAAACTTCATAGTCAAAGGCATCAGGCCCATGCAATCCTGGGTTCAATCCCCACCTCCATGACCTTGGGCAAGTCATGTCACCTCTCTGAGCCTCTTTTTTTTTCCCATCAGTAAAATAGGATAAATATAACATCCCTCACATGCTCTCATGGCAGTGAAATGAAATATTTATACCAAGACTATCATTTTGGCTTAATTCCCTTGTGTGTTTATTTGCGTGTTCCAAACAGACCTAAAGCCTTCTGAGAGAGGACAGGGCCTTACCCATCCACATTAGCCCCCTTCTGAGTGAGGACAGGGATCATGGGTGCCCCATAGATGCTTCTCTTCTCCCTCCGTGGATCTGGCACTGGGGAGTGTGGGATGATGGCAAATGACCCTGGGCTTTGAGAATAGAGACCTGGCTGTGTACCTTGGGGCAGGCAACACCAGTCTGGGCCTCAGTTTTCCCTTTTGTAACTTGGATAAAATAATAGCAACCCCCAACAGGGATGCTGGCGAGTTTCAGGGAGGCAACATAAGCCAACCCCGGGCTAGGCACTGAGTCAGTTCCTGGCTAGTGTGGGCAGAACGGTGTTTTTTTTTTTTTTTTTTTTTTTTTGAGACGGAGTCTCACTCTGTTGCCCAGGCAGGAGTGCAGTGGCGCAATTTTGGCTCACTGCAACCTCTGCCTCCCAGGTTTGAGGGATTCTCCTGCCTCAGTCTCCCAAGTAGCTGGGATTACAGGCATGCACCACCACTCCTGGCTAATTTTCCTAATTTTAGTAGAAACGGGGTATTGCCATGTTGGCCAGACTGGTCTTGAACTCCTGACCTTAGGTGATTTACCCACCTCATCCTCCAAAAGTGCTGGGATTACAGGTGTGAGCCACTGCACCCAGCCAACTTCTGTGATTTTAGAGGGCTGTGGGTCTCACATGGCTGTTCTCTGCCCTGTGCCCCCACTATCCAGTTGCCCCACTGTTTCTTCAGATGCACCAGCAGCCAGGAGCAGCCCAATCCATGAAACCATCTTCTCCTTCCGTCCTATGCTTCTCATCTGTCCGTGCTCAGAGGAAAACAGGGGGTCCAGACCGGGGCCAGACAGCTGTCCAGCACCTCCCTTTCCTGCGCTGCCCTCACCTTCTCTGTTAAATGGCAGTAGGACCAGTGGCTCTCTCAGGCAGACATCTACTGAGGACTGGCCACTTGCCCAGCCTTGTGCCAGCTTAGCCGATCCATGGGAAGCAGGAAACATTTCAAGTCAGTGAGAAATCACTCACTTCTTCTCACTTCCACCTGGGTTTTGGCAGCTTGTTGATCTGGGGCCCCAGACCCGGGAAGCCTGGGTAGCCGGGCAGCCTTCTGATGGGTTTCCAGCCTCTCCTGCCTCCCTTGCCTGCCTGCATTCCACAGTGGGGACTGAGGGCCTGAGGCCCCAAGGGTGACGGGCGGATGTTGGGGTTCAGACTGGGGATGGTGGGGTGTAGGTGACAGCTCCACCGGAACTTCTGCTAGGGCCTCTGCCCACAGGATGTGACTTAGGGAAGGCTCGTGGGAAACGGCAGGGCCTGGCCTGAGCTGTAGTCAGATAGTGGAGGCCACATAAGCCCACCGCAGAACCCTGCCCACCGCAATACTGTCCCTACCGGTGGCTCCACCCATGGGCCAGATGGGCAGGGCCCTGAGATGGGGAAGTGTTGGGGTTTGTGCCAGACTGACCTGGTTCAAATACCAGTATGGTCACTGGACAGCTGTTTGACCCAGGCCAAGTGATGTCATCTCTGAGTCTCAGTATCCTGATGCGTACAATGGAGGTGACAACAATACTCATATGGTTGAGTGACAATTGAGATAATTCCCATAAAGTGCTTGGACCATTTATTTTCCCTCAGTAAGTTGTCATTACCAAGATTGCTCTGTTCTCCCTCTTTATCCTCCCCACCTCCAATTTAGCTAACAGCCTCCTGCTTCTAATAAAGAGTGTACCCGTGAAGCCCACTGCACACTGCTCCCTGCCTAAACCCCTCTGTGACTCTACACTGCCCTCAGGAAAGGGCTCCTTTCTCCTCAGCCTGACCCTCAGGCCCCTCCCTGATAGGGCCCTTCCCCAGAACAGGACCTCTTGTGACATCAAGGTCACTAAAGCCATTCCTGCCTCCTCCTAGGAGGCTCTGAGGCTAAGCAGTGTGGGGTGAGAGCTGGGAGCCACACCGAGGGCTTATTGCAGGAAGAGAGGGTACTGAGGGTATGGGGGAGTGCAGAATCAGCACAGCACCGCTCTAACTGCAGGCAGGCTTGGGGGGCGGGATGTGAACTGGAAAGAGCCTCAGGGGTCACTTTCAGGTTCTTCCGGGACAGACAGAGGCCAGACAGGGGACCAGGTCTCAAGATCCACCAGCAGAGGGCTGGAGAGGAGGGGGCAAACTGCAGCCGGGCAGAGGCAGAAAAGACGGCTTTGCTGGAGGCTGGTCCTTGGGCAGAGCTGGAGGGGGAATCTGGAGACCACTGGAACCAGGAGGATGGGGGCGGAGGGAGAAGGGATGGGCGCAATGGGGAAGGGAGAAGAGGAGGGTGAATGGTGAGCTTGCACCCTCATATAAGGACAGCAGGTCTCCCGACTGCTCTCCTACTGGCCCAACCGCAAATGGCGTGAATCAAGAGAGTCCCCTTCACACTCAGACACCCAGGTCCGGGTCCCAGCTTTGCCGCCGTGTGACCTTGGGCAAACGACCTCACCACTCTGAGCCTCAATGTCCTCTTCGGCAAAATGGGTTAGTGATCCTGACTATGGGGCAATTGATCCCGGATTCGGCGGGAACGCCCAGCACTCTGAGCACACGAGAGAGCTGAGAAAAATGGCAGCTGTTTTTTGCGATTATTGACCCAGGGCCAGACCAGCTCTGGCGCTCCTCGGCGGAAGCGGGAATCCTGCGGGTCCCATACCTGCCCCCCGAAGAGCCGCGCTCCAGCAATAGAGGGCCCGGGCGTTGCTTGCTCGCCGTCTCCAGTGCCGCCGCGCCCCCTGGCGGCCGTCGGTTGCCATGTCAACGGCGGGTGGCGGGGACCGGGGGAGGCGGCGGCGGGGGCAGTTCTTTCCTCCCAGGGCCGGAGGACGCTCCCTCCGCGCCTCCCGCCTTCGCCTCTCGGGGGGGCACTCCGAGCCGAGGAGGAAGGGGCTCTCCACGGCAGCGGGCATGTGGGGGTAAACTGAGGCACGCGGCGGGGCGCCCGCAGCCAGGTGCCGAGCGCGGGGCCCCACCTCCGAAGGCGGAGGAGGGGCCGCGGGCGGTGACGCGCCTAGGGCGGCCGGCGGACAGCGAGCGGGCGGGCGGGCGGTGGCGGCGGCGGCAGGTGCGGCCGCGGAGGGTGGGAGGGAGGAGGGAGGGGGCGGGCGGAGGAGGAGGGGAGGGCGAGGCAGGGCACCTCCCCCTTTATAACGCGCCCCCTCCCGGGCTCTCGGGCCACCTCCTAGTCGGCTCTTCCCGTTTCGCCCCCTCGCCCGGCTGCCCCGGGCCCGCGCTCGGGCCCGGCCAGGGAGCCCCCAGGCCGCGGCTCGGGGGTCGCCCCCCCGTCCGCCGCCCCGCGCAGCCCGGCGGAGGCGGCGCCGTCGGAGGAGGAGGAGCAGGGCACTGCGGCTGGCCCCGGATCTGGCGCCAGAGCGGCAGCAGCTTCGGCAGCAGCGGCGGCCCGGGCCAATGCAGCGGGACGCGCCGCCCCGAGCCCCAGCCCCGGCGCCCCGGCTCCCCGCGCCCCCGATCGGGGCCGCCGCCAGTAGTGGCGGCGGCGGAGGCGGGGGCAGCGGCGGCGGCGGAGGCGCCTCTGCAGCTCCGGCTCCCCCTGGCCTCCCGGGAACTACAAGTCCCAGGGGGCCTGGCGGCGGGCGGCGGGCGGAAGAGGCGGGGTCGGCGCCGCGGGGCCGGAAGTGGCCGTGGAGGCGGAAGTGGCGCGGCCGCGGAGGGGCCTGGAGCGCGGCGGCGGGACCCGGAGCGGGAGCGGCAGCAGCGGCGGCTGGGGGCGGCGGCGGCGCGCTGGAGGCGGCCATGGCAAAGCAGTACGACTCAGTTGAGTGCCCCTTTTGTGATGAAGTTACCAAATACGAGAAGCTTGCCAAGATCGGCCAAGGCACCTTCGGGTAAGGCTGTGCCCCTCGGGGATGGGAGTACTGGGCTTGCACCCCGTCTGGACGCCGGGGACCCGGTTGGAGGTGGTAGAGAAACCGCCTGTCTCTGGGCTTGTCCACAAGTCTCTAGGCCGTGCCGCACCCCGCCCGGGCCTGACGGAGCCGGCTGGTGGGGAGGAGCCTGAGGCCCTTGGTGGGGGGCGGGGAGGGGCTGCAGAGAAGTGACCGTCAGGGGAGTGGGATCTCTCCAAGAGACGCCCAAGTGAGGAGAAGGGACTGAGGGGAGAAAGCAGAGGCTCTGAACGAGACCGGGTGTCGGGTACCGCGTGGGGTAGCCGCGTGTTCTGGGTACCCGGTCCAGCGCCGCCCGGGAGTCTTTTGCTGCTGCCCCTCCTCCTGTAGTGGGGGAGGGGCGGGCCCTGCGGAAACGGCCTGATGAGCTCTCTCGGGTCTCCCTTTCCGCCTGCAGGGAGGTGTTTAAGGCCAAGCACCGCAAGACCGGCCAGAAGGTGGCTCTGAAGAAGGTGCTGATGGAAAATGAGAAGGAGGGGGTGAGTACGGATCGGGCGTGCGGTCTAACTACCCGGGACCCCGGGTTGGCTTTCCACCCTGCTGCTTCAACGAGTCTCAGGTTGAGATTCATTTTGTTTGTAGCAGTTTAGAAATTTCCAAGGAATTTGGCCTCCACCCTAAAACCTAAATGCTTCATTGTTAGGCAGTTATAGTTGAGGCCGGGAGGGGGAGTTAATGTTTGCATCGTGTGCACACGAAGTTAGGAAGCCTTTAAACACCTCTTTCTTAGTGTTATATTTTGCTTAATGTAAAAGAGATATATGTGCATGGTTTTTGGAAGGTGACTAATAATTATTTAACGTATTTAAAAGGAGCAGTCCCTCCACTGCGTCTTAGCTCTAGTATAGTTTCCCATAAACCTTCATTTTCCTGCTCTAGCAAGGACGTTTTTAAGTCATCATGTTTGTTGCCAACAAAACACCCGTAGAGCTCAAGTTACAGGCTGAAACCGCGGAGCATTTAGTGGCTAGTAGCAAAGTCCTGCTGTTTCAGTTTGTAGTCTGAAACCATCTTTTTGAGGTGTGTGTGCCCCTGCTATACCTATTTTACAGATAAGGCTTTTGAGACAGCTGGTTTCAGAGCACGTGTTCTTGCTTTGTCTCCCAGCTTGTCTCTGAGTATAGAACCCAGAGCTGGGCTCTGTACTGTGCTTTCTCCTGACCACTTCCCCCTCTCCCACCCAGTTCCCCATTACAGCCTTGCGGGAGATCAAGATCCTTCAGCTTCTAAAACACGAGAATGTGGTCAACTTGATTGAGATTTGTCGAACCAAAGGTAAGTTGTTTGGCTCTTGTGAGAAGATGACGCTTATAGCCTAAGGTTTTGTTTGCAGAGTTGGAACTGGACACACCTAAACTGCCTCTTCTTAACCCAGATGGACCCATGGTGACTGCTTTCTCTGGTCCTCTGTCATCATAGCTGATGCTTCCCCGGGGCCTGCCACAGCACCTGGCCCAGAGGAGGCACTCAGAAAATATTTGGCCAGTGAAGGAAGGAACAGACGGATGCTCTGGAGGGCATGGGTGTCTGTGGGTCGGGGCAGGAAGAAAGAAGCTGATTGTGGGAAAGTGAGTTGGGTGTGCTTTTCTTGACTTTTTCTTCCTTCTGCTATTCCTGCCTCAGCTTCCCCCTATAACCGCTGCAAGGGCAGTATATACCTGGTGTTTGACTTCTGTGAGCATGACCTTGCTGGGCTGTTGAGCAATGTTTTGGTCAAGTTCACACTGTCTGAGATCAAGAGGGTGATGCAGATGCTGCTTAACGGCCTCTACTACATCCACAGGAACAAGGTGGGGGCCAGAGCTGGGAGGAGGACCCGGGCTGGGGCTGGCCTTGGTTCCCACTCCTGCGTGGATGTGAGTGAAGAAGCCACTCTTGCCCTTCCTGCAGATCCTGCACAGGGACATGAAGGCTGCTAATGTGCTTATCACTCGTGATGGGGTCCTGAAGCTGGCAGACTTTGGGCTGGCCCGGGCCTTCAGCCTGGCCAAGAATAGCCAGCCCAACCGCTACACCAACCGTGTGGTGACACTCTGGTACCGGCCCCCGGAGCTGTTGCTCGGTGAGGACTCCCGAGCGGGCCGAGGGGGGTGAGGGCCAGGCATCCACCTGGCCCCCACCCCCAATGCCAGGGCTTCTTGAGCTGCCGGCCCTGGGGCATCGAGCCTCAGGAGGCCCTCGGGCTCAAGGGGCCCTCCTGGTGCGCTCTTCTTCCCAGGGGAGCGGGACTACGGCCCCCCCATTGACCTGTGGGGTGCTGGGTGCATCATGGCAGAGATGTGGACCCGCAGCCCCATCATGCAGGGCAACACGGAGCAGCACCAGCTCGCCCTCATCAGTCAGCTCTGTGGCTCCATCACTCCTGAGGTACGGGGTCCACGGGGTACAGAGATCCAGGTCCCCCGGCAGAGGGGGAGTGGGGAGTGGAATGGAAGGAGCACTCCTATCTGGAGGGGAGGCTGGTTTGGGGACAGGGCCTGCCCTTGAGAGCCACACAGGCTGTGTGCCAGTCTCGGTTCCCTCACCTTTTCTGTGGCCTTGGCAGAGCATCTGAGCCAGCGCTGCATTTCTCTTTTGTGAAACAAATGTAACGTGTATCAGGGTTGGAGCCCATATTCCAGGTGATGTGGGTAAAAGGGCCTGGCACATGGTATATGCCAATCTGTGGTGGGCACTGATTCTCCTGGGAGGGGTCGAGTTCTCCCTCCAGTTGCAGTCTTAGAGCCTCCGAGTGGAGCAGGTATTTTAGTCCTTTTAGGCCTTGACCAAGGGACAAGCCACACACTCCTGACCAACTCCAC